CCTTCAGTCTGCAGCTTGGCTCCGCCTCCTGCCGGCTGCGTTTACAGCTGGGCTCGACGATCTCTTCGCCCTGGAAACATTTGATTGGTCATCAGGGTTGCTATGGAGACCTACTCAAACCAGGTGAGTCAGGCTTCTCACCTTCTCCTCCTTTTTAGGGACACCAGCCTCCGACTGCTCTCCTTTCTCCTCCTTGGTCTGGAGCGTTGGACCCTGCACTAACAGGACAACGTCCCACACAGGTGAGACGGCACATCCAACACCCACCTGCAGCTAGAAAACCCCGCCTCTTACCTGCTAGGTGAGCAGCATAGGCCCAGAGAAAAACATGTTGGTTCATGCAGGACTCACAGATCATCTCCTGCATCTCCACACAGTCAGGAACCGCACAACCCAGGTGCTGCAAGGCAGGAGACAGGAGAGGAAATGGGAGAGGAGACGAGAGAGGAGACGGGAGAGGAGACAAGAGAGGAGACGAGAGAGGAGACGAGAGAGGAGACGGGAGAGGAGAAAGGAGAGGAGACGGGAGAGGAGACGGGAGAGGAGACGGGAGAGGAGACGAGAGAGGAGAAGGGAGAGGAGACGAGAGAGGAGACGGGAGAGGAGAAGGGAGAGGAGACGGGAGAGGAGAAAGGAGAGGAGACGAGAGAGGAGACGAGAGAGGAGACGAGAGAGGAGACGGGAGAGGAGACGAGAGAGGAGAAGGGAGAGGAGACGAGAGAGGAGACGGGAGAGGAGACGGGAGAGGAGAAGGGAGAGGAGACGGGAGAGGAGACGAGAAGCTAGGACACCTGGCTCCACCTGCTCAGACTCACCCTGCCATGCAGCCAGTCCTCACAGACCACACACTGGATCATCTCATCCTCCACCTGGACATAAGCAGCCAATCACAGTGAGACATGGAGTCATAGCTCAGCTGGTGAACAGGTGAGCTCCAGGTGGTCTCACCTGGTCATCAGGGTCGGGGTACGGCCGGCGGCAGGTGCAGTAGAGGCCGAAGAAGTTATGGCTGTATTTATTCAGAGTGTTGGCGTCGTCCTTCTCCTGACACACACACATAAAGATATGAAATCATTCATCCATCCATCCATCGTCAGCGTTGCCGTGGCAGCAGGACAGGTGAGTACAAGTGTTCTCAGGTGAACTCACAGGATGTAGTTTACACTGCAGCTCAGAGAACTTCCTGTTTCCACAGTCACAGCGGAAATTTCTGCAGAAACCACAGAAAAAGAGTTGAAACTGATCCCAATGATCTGATTGGTGTTTAGAAACTGACCTGAGTCACATGACGACAGCAGACCAATCGGTGAACGGTACCTCTTGGTGTAGAGCTCGAAGAGGTCGTGACCTTCGTGGCAGGTGTAGGAGCAGGCCAGGCAGACGCCGGCGGCCTCGCCGCCCTGCGGCGTGCAGGTGTTGCAGGCGTACAGCGCCTGCCGCTTCACATAGCCCTGCAACAGACGCAGCGTCAGCTGGGCCGGGCCGGAACCGAGTCCTCCAGATGAGACTTACCTGAGGATAGGAGCAGTGATCGGAATCACTTCCTGCCAGCACGGCCGAAGCTTCCTCCTCCAGCTCCTCATCCTCCTCCAGAACGTCCACCAGAGACACCGTCTGCTCCTCGCTCATCCTCACCTGCTTCCTGCAAGGCAAACCTGCGGGTCAGCCGGACTGGACAGAACCAACGGACCCCTGGGTTACTGTTCGGACAACAGCCCGATACCACCAGAACCACGTGAAGGTTCTATAGAAAAAAATGTCTGAAGCTGGAGTTTCAGTGAAAGGATCTAGAGTTACAAGTTTTAATAATTTAGAAAAATTTGTATAAAGACAGAAATTCAAAAATCTCCAACAAGTCTGGAAGTACTGGGCTGGGATCAGAACCTGGAATATTACGGATTTTAAACGGTCAGCAGCCCCGAGGTTACCATGGTAACCAGGTAAAATGGTCAGTTATTGGTGTACAGAGGTTACCAAAGCAGGCTGGGATTGAATAATCAGGTAGGCAGGTTACTATGGTAACCAGCAGACAGCCGGTCAGGTAGATTCTGACCGATTACCTCCCGGTTATTGATACCCTAGTTATAGATCCCTGATCAGTTCAAGGTTGCTAATGCTAACAATATTAACCCGGATCAGAAACGAAACTTACAGAACCGAGCCGGACCGGAGCGGAAGCACACCCGAACGCTTCCCAGCGTGTGATCAGCTGATCGATTGGGATCAATGACTCCGATCGGAGCGAATCTTTGATGCTGAAGCAGGAGCTCCTGCTAACGGACCACAACTTCCGGTTGACGTCCAGCAGCTCGTATTTGGCGGCTTCCGGTGAGGTCAGAGGTCACCAAAATGGAGGCGACGTGTGTACGCGCGGAGCTGCGGCTTTGGGACGGACAGAACCGAACCTTCAGCGTCCAAACCGGAACCGGCCTGAGCGCCCTGAACGCCGCGATCTCCGAGCTCAACCAGAGGGCGGCGCAGATGCTCACCGAGCTCGTTGACAGCGAGAGAGCGCGCGCAGGCAGTGCACGAGGTGATCTTCCGGTGGCCGTTAGAGAGCTCAACAGCTCCGCGCGCGCGGCAGAGGTAGCGGCGGGAGCGCGTGAAGAAGCGCGCTGTAGATGTAGAGAAGATGAAAAGCACGTGACCTAAGATGAAAAGCACGTGACCTAAAAAAAAAAGTTTGAGAAAGTAAACCGTCCAGTTTGACCCGGGCAACATGGCGGCACTAATAGCGTGTCATACTAGGTTAGACTGTTAAAACATTATGTTAAAGCTGCTATGGCTTGGAAATAGATTCAGGAGCAGTATGTCGTTAAAATCAGAAACGTTCTCGTTATAATATGATATAAAATCCGGTCCTCTGGCAGATTCCGAGCTGCTAAGAGGCATAAATGGCTCCTTCCCACTCATCGCCGTTTCTGTGTGGCTTAGAACAGCACATTTCTCGTTTAATAAAGGGTTGTTCTTTATTAAACGAGTAAACTGCTCCTGAATTTATTTCCAAGCTCTGGCAGTGACTACTTTTTTATGATGAATCTTATTGAAATTTTAAAACTACATTTTTAAGCAATAACTTTAGGCTTTTATTAATCACCTAATAAAATCTAAATATTTTCAAGTATCAAATAGAGCCCATATTCATTATCTAATTTCAAATATGAAAATATGGAGTACTCAGGATATTAAGTATGATTAATCTGTCGGCTCTGTTAGGAAACCAGCAGTGACAGCACCCCCGTTCCCGTAAATATCCCGTATAGTGTTCCCGCTCTCTCGGTAGCCTCCCTCCTCTAACAGTAGCACCGGACGGCGACATTTCCTGTATTGTCAAGTCCAAACCTTGACAGGTATGTCCCTGTAAAACAGCGGTGTCCAAAGTGGGTCCTGGAGGCCCACTTTGGACCTCCAGGACCTATATATATATATATAATTCAGTATTAATCATTATTTATTTGTGCCATTATTAATCTTTATTTATTAGTGTTTGTATAGTTATATAAATTTATATTGATATTACTAAATAATTTAGTAAATAAATTATGAACGGCTGTGTGCTTTGTAATATGCTCTTCATACATCGATATCAGAATATTCCATTCCTATTCTATTGTTATAGCCACTAAGCAAATTTAAAAATGATGAACTATGTATTAAAAACATACTTAAAAAATACAATTGTTTATAAATGTTGCTTTGATAGATGTTTGAATATGGTTTACAGTAAAAAAAAAGTGTGTTATGATCGATTAAATGCGCTGATACGTCATTGTGCTGCTAAACACATAACGCTGAGTGGAGTGGAGTACCGCTCCAAGATGGCCGCTCTAAATCTCGTCAGCGACAATAGGCAAGAGCGGTCCATGAGGCGTCTATCCTTATATTATGTCTATGGTTGCCACCACCAGGGAGAGAACTAAAGTATGCAGGATGCCGGCCGTCGACGACCGACTTTGGGCACCGCTGCTGTAAAATAAACTAAACTACAGTAGCGCCCCCTGTGGTGGCAGCATGCTAGAGCAGTTCTGGTTCTGCTCGGTTCTGTTTGGACAGTTTTCCCCTTTGGTTCTGGATGCTGAGCAGCTGGGAGGATTTTTAATGTTACACTTTTACTTTTGAAGAGATGTAGTGCGTAACCATGGCAACCATGCATTGTTTTTATTACTATAACCTGATTAGCATCTCAGAAGCTTTGTTGTCTTCAACATTTTCCATATAATTGAGCCAAGATGGCAGAAAGTTGGTCTTTGGCTCATTAAACACAGGAACAGAGTTGAGGGTAAAATTCAGACTGCTTCATCGCTGCTGGGCTGTAAACGTGATATACAGCCTGCTCACATCCAGCTCCACTTTATTCTGGAGGAAATCATGTATCCGTTTACTAATTATGGCCGACAGAGGAAAACAGCTTCAGCTTTACTGTAACAATGTCAGAGCTTCCACAAATTAAATAAAGAAGTATGAAGAGCTGTATGCTTTTGAAGGTAAATATAGATTTCAAAAACTAAATGTCACCATGAACTGCTAACTCAGACAATCATCCATTTTAGTAAGTTTTAATTTTTTAATTAACTCATTTAGGATGAATATATATATTTTTCCTGATGGAAAAACATGTCTATAAACATATTTTCAGACATTTTGTAGAACAGAAAAAAAAACAGGTTTGAATTTGAACTCTTGAAAGTCATGTGACATCGTAGAGTCCTTTGATTGGTTGCTCATGACCAATCAGAGTGCCCCTCTGCAGCGCTGATAATTCAGTTTGAATAAAAACAGAAAATAGATCCAATATTCCAAACGTTGTTAAGGACTGCTGTTTCAGCTGCTCTCTACTAAATATTTCCAGCAGCAAACAGGACAACCTCCTGGGGGCGCTGTTCTGATTCACCTGTTTTACCTGCCGCAGGTGATGAAGAGAGTGACGAGGAAGAGGAAGAGGACGGTTTGAACTCTGACCCTCAGCCTGAAGCTAAAAGATCCAAAACCAGCTGACCTCCTGCTGTGAAACGTCATGTTTCGTTTTATTAATGTCATATTAAAGTTACCATGGTAACCAGTGCGTCACGTCATTAAATACAGAAAAAACAAACAGAAATTGCTGCTCTCTGATTGGTCAGCAGAGACCGACAGTCTGTGCTGAGGGTGGTGCAGACGCTAAGTTTGTTTACTGGAACAGTAAGTGACATCACACTTATCCATCTGTCTCTACATGTGAATGAGCAATCCGGCTCTGTGATTGGCTGGTTTGGGCGCGTCACGGCGGCTGCACAGCAGGAAGATGCAGACAGGAAGCACACAGTAGCCGACGGCGCGGGGATCCGCCCTGGTGCACGAAAACAGGAAGAGGAAGAGCTGCAGGTACGGCACCAGGAAGACGGAGGCCCACGCCCACACAGGAAGCGGCGGCAGGTGGGCGGAGACGGCGGGGGGCAGCGCCAACGAGCCGTCGCTCTGCACGCGCTCCAGACTGACCACCTCAAACACCAAGTAGGCGGCCATGATGCTGAGCAGCAGGAAGAGAGCCACGCCCACCCAGCCCATCCTCTGGCGGAAGTTCATCATCCTCCATACTGCAGAGAAAGAAACGTTTGGTATCAATAACCTGAAACTAACTGATCAATACAGGAAATAAATCACATCCTATACTCGATCCAACTAACTGAGCCAAACTTCCTCTGCACCAGACTGAACTGTTGGCCTTCAGACCGAACGTCTGGAGCTGAACTGTTGGCCTTCAGACCGAACGTCTGGAGCTGAACTGTTGGCCTTCAGACCGAACGTCTGGAGCTGAACTGTTCGCCTTCAAACCGAACGTCTGGAGCTGAACTGTTGGCCTTCAGACCGAACGTCTGGAGCTGAACTGTTCGCCTTCAAACCGAACGTCTGGAACTGAACTGTTCGCCTTCAGACAGAACGTTTAGAGCCGAATTGAGTAAATTGTGATAAAAAAAAAAAATGAACTGAGTCTGGCCCAGAGCTGCCGGTTAATCTCGGAGCTGTTTAACTCTGACTCCTTTCAGATTTTATTCAGTTCAAGTGGATCCGAACAGTTCTTTGGACCGGATCCCGGTGTTGGAGCCGGTGCTGATTTCGGTATCGCCGTGTGGACTCGGGCTGAGCTCAGAGGTAAAACACTGAAGGACTCTTCCTCCATGTTGCTCTTTCTTTACTACACCTGGTCTCGCGCAGCCACGTGTCTGGTCACCTGTCAGCTCGCGCTACAGCAGCTCCTACCTTCCCTCGCGCTGATTCTTTCAAAGTAAAATCCAGGTTCGGACTCGGTTTCAATCAGCAGCTGGTTCGGTCCGGAACCGATCGCCTTTCTTCCTGTTTAATCATGTGACTCTGACACAACGTCATTGAATCTAGTGATGGAGAGCGCCTCCTGGCGACCAAACGGATGTTTACTGAATCAGCTTAAGTTAGTCAACACAAGAAAAATGTCTGAAAGGAGAGCTGACAATATAAACACATAACCATGCCTTTTTAAATGTTCATTCTAAATTTTATGTTTCTATTTCAGTGTCTGAAATGAAAAGCAGCGAATATGAAGCTTTTCAGATATTCTAAAACAATATTAGTGGCTGTAAATAACTTCTCTAGCATTGACTTTACAAGCAGTAATAGTGATCATTACGGCCGGATCTAAGAGTTCAGGGAGAAGCGGGACCTTTTGAGAAAAGACTCGCTGTCCGTGAAATGAAGTCTTTCTTCCCGGCACTTCTCTGTTTGTCCTCTGGGAGTCGCCAAAGAGAGAATAATTTCTTCCTCTTCCGGTAGATAAAAAAGGCCCGAAAAACAAACCGAGGCGAGGCGGCCGCACATTCCAGAACAAGGCAGCGCCAAGCAAACAATTAACCAAATATAAACCTCACATAATAAACCAAAATAAAATAAAACAAAGCTCACATTACTCTGGCAGAATAGAAAGAAGCAACGAAAAGTAAGAAAGTTTTAATCCAGGCCAGAATTTCTCGATGTTTCAGTTATTACAAATCAAAGCAGTTCTGGGTTTGCAGACTGGATTTAAAGGAACTCTGTGTTTCACTTGTTTTCTCGACCGAACCAGGTCAGAACCACAGAACAATGGAGGCGGAGCCACGGTTCAGGCCAGATCACCAGCAGAACTGGGCCTGAACATCTGGAAAACATCCAATCAGAAGGTAGCAGCTCAGTGCATTCATTCATCCAGAACCGGCTGTTAGAACATTTCCTGGTCCAATGAGTCAGAACTTGGTGGGACCATCAGAGTTCTGGGTGGAGGTGGCATCGTCATCACCTCCACTGGTTCTGCAGCGAGGCTCTGAGGTCAAGGTGATCTGATTTCTGACCACACAGGGGTTCACCGTGGGGTCAAAGGTCAGGATTAGAAATGAGGCCTGCTTCCAGTTCTGGTTCTGCTGCAGGTCCTCAGCTGTGGGTCCTGATCCGGTTTGGTTCCTGCGGCGCCATGTCTGACTCCAAAACTTGGAGTACGGACAAATTTAGAAAAAAGTGGCGCACAAGAAAATTCAGGTCTGAAGCTGCTGCTCCGCCTGTCGCCTCCATGAAACATCTTAATGTAAATTAGCATAAATACCTGGAGTGAAGCAGTAACCATGGCAACGGCATTGTTTGTAGCAGAATAGTATTTATAATAATTATATATTTTATTTAAAAGGTGCTTAAAGGGCACATAAGGTGACCTCAAAAAATAAAAATAATACATTTTAAAGAGAAAGTAAAGAGTAAATCTGTCCAGGTCGGACCTGCTGCTGCAGCAGAGCCTCCGAGTCGGACCTGCTGCTGCAGCAGAGCCTCCGGGTCGGACCTGCTGCGGCAGCAGAGCCTCCGGGTCGGACCTGCTGCTGCAGCAGAGCGTCCAGCCGGATTACAGACCAGAGAGGCTCTGAGTGGGAATGTGGATCCTAAATAACTGAATCAGATCTCAGTGGGTTCAGGTGAGCTTTGACTCTTTGTAGTTTATTATTGTTCACAGGTAAAGTTTCTTACTGCCACATATTTTCACAGCAGGTCAAAAGTTTATGCATATTTATACAAACTTTGATGCCCGTTCATTTTTACATGCCGACTTCTGCGTAAAATATGGCGCCGCACATCTGTGTGCGTATGAATGATTCATACATGAGGTCCAGGTCCGGTTTGTTGTGGGATGACGCCTGATTCCTCCTTCAGCCATTTAAGGCTCTGAGCTCAGAGCGGTGTGTGTGTGTGTGTGTGTGTGTGTGTGTGTGTGTGTGTGTGTGTGGTGCCTCTCCTGCACAGTAAACCAGAACCGACCCGTTATAGCAGATTCTGCTGACTCATGCAGACTGCAGGCTTGTTTTGATCAGGTTCAGTTCCAACATGTTGGAAGTGTTACCATGACAACCAAGCTTTCAGCTGCTGTCCAGATGTTTTCCTTAACTTCCTGCTGGCTTCTGTCCAGAACCAACCCAGCAGAACCAGAACCGGGACAGAGTTCTGCTCCAACCTTAAATCCTTCCTGGATGGTTGTGCAGACAGCGAGCCCTGCTGCCGATAGTCTGCAGGAACTGGAGGGGGCAGTGATGCATGCTGGGTAAATAGCTGCATTTATTAAAGTAAACCATCAGAGGAAAACCCGGAGCGGATCAGGATTCCCTTGGCTCTGAAACCAAAAGCTGCTTCTCTGATTCAGAGTTTCCAGCAGCTGCTGAAGGTTTCTGGGCTCCAGAACCAGAACCGACCCTCCTAAATGTCTTTAAAGCTTTAATGTGTCAACATGAAGCTTCAGTCTGATATCAAACAGCAGGAAGTTTCAGCCTCTGTGGTCTTCATCATCATCATCATCCTCCCTGCTGCGATTTCCCATCATGCTCTCTGTCTGGTGGTTTTTTGGTTTTGCACAGATTCACATGAAAACAGTAAAAGTTTAGGAAAACATGGAGCGGAATCTGGATCCGCTCCACGCTTCGAAACAAGCAGATAAAGTTACTTTCTGGGTGAGATGCTATTTATTCTCTGGTTCTGGTTCTGTTGGGTCCAGCCGGGCTCGGACCTTTGACCCAACATCTGGCTCTCAGCAGCATAGAAATGTGTTAACAGATCCTGAAAAAACCCGGGCCGAGACCAGAACCCTGCAGAAGGAAACCGAGCCCGATCTGCGTTTCCAGAACCTTTGCCAGGAAGTTGGTCCGGGTTTGGGTCTGTGAGGTTCGACAGCTGCAGGAGGAGGAAGAGGAGGAGGAAGAGGAGGAGGAGCAGCAGTGGATGTAAACAGCCGCGTTTCTCCTCCGGCTCAGCTTTACGCAGCGCGCAGATGGAGCACACCATCTTCCTCCTCATCATCCTCCTGCTCGGAACCGCGGTTCCGTCCGGGGCGGACTGGACTCTGGTTCTGCTCCACACCAACGATGTGCACGCGCGCGTGGAGGAGACCAGCGTGCACTCCATCAAGTGCGGTAGATCGGAAAAATGCTACGGCGGCGTGGCGCGGAGAGCCACGGAGATCCGCCGGATCCGGAACGAGGAGCCGAACGTTCTTCTGCTGGACGCCGGGGACCAGTTCCAGGGAATGGTTTGGTTCACTTTGTACAAGGGAGCCGAGGCGGCGCACTTCATGAACCGGCTGGGATACGATGCCATGGTAGGAACCCTCTAAAGTATGTTTTGGTTTCAGAGTGAAATCAGAGCATTTGTTCCCAGGCTGTAGAAATGACCTTTGAACCCTGGAGGACTGTGGTATGAGCGCGCGATAGGGGAGCAGATGATCAGTGACTCGTTATTAATCTCGAACTGAGGAGAGACCCCATCAGCAGCCGGCGCTCCGGAAATAGCTGCAGATCACATCTGGTTAAATTATCTGTAGAGATAAATCGGCAACTTAGCAACAACCAGCAACAAAAACAAGCAACAGCCTCTAATGGTCCGGCTCAGGAAGTCTGTTCAAGCCAAACCTGAATGCAGTTTTTACCCTCAGCCCAGAGAAACGCTGTAAAACTGCATAGTGTTGGCAGCATCATGCTGTGGGAAGACGGATGGAGCTGATGCTGGACATGGAAGAAAACTAAACTATGGGAGAATTGTTCTGCCATAATTCCAGAGCACACATTGTCAGTCTGAAAGCAGGACTTCATGTCTTTCCTCTCAAATCTTGTAATTCTTGAACTCCAAGCTGCTCTCCAGGCCCCATGGGCAGGGATTGGGGGGTATCGGGGGGCATTGGGCGTCCACAGAGTCAGCTGTGCCCCCTGGAAGCTATTTGTAGTTTTTACCTCAAAGTGGCCAACTCTCTGTTATTCCTATATTGGTTTGATACAGTAGGAGCTGCTGCACTTCCCACATCTGTGCCCTCTGTCACCATCAGCCCTTAAAACTGTTTCATCTGTTGTTAACGCGTCGTAAAGCGTTTTTCCGAGCCGCCTTTAAAAGCAACATGAGCGTTGAGACCATAGACATAATATATCATCTTATAGTATGTCTATGGTTGAGACGCTCGCGCTGGGTTTACACCTGTGTGGCAGCGAAGGAAACCTGCTGCTGCTGGGCGGAGCTACAGGTGTGTTAGAATCATGGCAGCAAAGAACTTTGCAGTTTTCCCCCCCAAACTAACCGACTGAGTTTAGTAAAGCTGCTGGATGCAGGTAGTGTTAGCTAACAGATGACTAGCTAATGCTAGCTAACAGATGACTAGCTAATGCTAGCTAACAGATGACTAGCTAATGATAGCTAACAGATGACTAGCTAATGATAGCTAACAGATGACTAGCTAATGTTAGCTAACAGATGACTAGCTAATGCTAGCTAACAGATGACTAGCTAATGATAATGATAGATAAAAGATGACTAGCTAATACCAATACAGCACCTTAAGCTTGTTAATAAGTAGCCTCTAGGCTACTGTTGTTGTCTATGTTCATGTACATAGATTAATTTTGCCCCCAAAATAAGCCGATGTCCCCCGGCGATCCGTAGCTGTTAGTGTTCAGTAGCTCTGCTGGTGGATGATTAGTGTAACATGGAGCAGAAAGCTGAGATTGTTGAGATTGTTGTTCCTCCAGTGGGCGGCGCAGGTTGCTACATTCAATAGCAACCACACAGGCTAACCCGCTAGAAGGAAACAAACAGACCCAGTACAACACTTTCATTCTATTGGCTGAGAGATTACCAAGTGACAGCAGAAAATGATTTGTAAGTGAGCAGAGGTTTGCAAGCAGAGATTTGATCAGTTTTGAGTGTCAGGAGAGAGGTTTGAGAGAGCAAAGTGAATATTTGAAAGAGAGCAGAAGTTTGGAGTTCAAGAATTACAAGATTTGAGAAGAAAGACATGAAGTCCTGCTTTCAGACTGACAATGTGTGCTCTGGAATTATGGCAGAACAATTCTCCCACAGAAAAGCTGCAGCAGACCTGAGGCTGAGGTCAAAGTTCAGCTTCCAGCAGAAACACACAGCCAGAAATATTATGGGATGGTTCAGATTAGATTCATGGGTTAGGTTGGCCTAGTCAAAATTCAGACTTGAATCCAACTGAAAATCTGTGGCAGGACTTAAACTGACAGTGGTGGGCACATGTTTGCTACTCCACAAATCCGTTAGTAGCAAAGCTCATTTTTAGCTTAGTG